CTCGCTGAAATGGAGGTGAGGGTGAGCATAGAGGCTTCTAGCAGGCCTGATCCCAACAAGGCACTGAGCACTTTCTGCTCCCGCTGAAGGCTGGGGACTTGCAGGCGTGCAGTGCTGGGACACCAGAAGCTGAAGAGCAATCTGCCCTCTCTTAGTCCTGCATCTCGTGCACGAGTAGGAAGTTTAGACTTCACAAGACTTTGCGAATAAAGTATCATCCCCATTTTCGCAGGTGGGGAAATGACTGTCCAGGTCCCAGAAGTCACTGCCAGAACTGGGAGCAGGCCGGTGTCCTGCCCTCCCACCAGTCTACCCGAAGTGTGCTGCCAGTGACTGAAGGACAATACTGAAAAGAGTCAAGATGCGGAGCTGGCCCTCAGGATGTTAAGAGTTTAGGTGCATCCGTTTTTTTTCTTTCAGAGGAAACTGCATGATTTTTGCCCTGTGAGCTGTGTACAGTACTTTGCAGTTGGCTGTGAGCGTGCAGTACTACTTCCGCAGCAGTGCAAACACTGGTCCTGCTTTTATACGGTTTAACACTGCCTGCACCGACCAGTCAAATCAGCACATCAGTGCTATAGCGCTTCAGACCTTAAGTGCACAGAGCCTCATTACAGTCTCTTTACATTACAGTTAAAACTCACTGTAAAACTCACTTCAGACAAACATCTTTCAAAACAAGCTTCATCCTGGGACCGTACAAAACCCCAACCAACCCCCATTTCATACGGGTCGACCGCGCTGCCAGCCACGTCGCGCCACAAGCGCCCATGCCAAACGCCGCGCGGCCAAAGTGCTCTACGGCGCTGGCCCTCCTTAGGCGGGCCGGGGCAGAGTCGGCGCAGCAAGAGCTGAAGGCATGGTCAGGCAGAATACCCTACGTAGCAACGCGACGGGGGGAAAAAACACACAAAAAAAAAAAAAACCAAGCAAACAAGCAAAATCCCCAAACCCGCAGTCTGCTGATGGCAATGCCCCCAACATTTCTGTGGCAAGAAGCGCTGCCAAGCGCATCTCGCAGCGGAGGTGAATTACCGTCGCCGTTTCTAAGCGTCTTGCAGGTGCTGTCTGCTTCAGTGAGGGGAAACACGGCATGGATTTATGAGGACTATCACCCAAGGGTTTCAAGTAAGACTGGAAACCACTTTCCTTGTTGCTTTGATTGCTCAGCGTTATTGGCCTGAATACGTCCAGGGGGCTAAGCTTCCCGCAAAGCTTATTGCCAAACATCATGGGTCCTCGGGCTGCCGCTCTGCTCGGGAGGAACGAACGGGCTGTTTCCGCTGGCTCCAGCGGCAACCGCC